TTGCAGAAGAGGGGGCTAAGCCATTATATACCTTATTTGAGAAGTTGTGGCAGATTGGTGAAGTTCCCAATGACTGGAAAAGTGGAAGCATATCCCCCATTTTTAAAAAGGAGCAATGACAGGCCAGTCAGTCTTACCTCCTTATCTAGAGAGATCAAGGGGCAGGATCCTCCTGGAAACTATGCTAAAGCACATGAAAAACAAGGAGATGATTGGTGACGGTCAACATGGTTTCACTAAATCATGCCTGACAGACATGTTAGCCTTCTATGACAGAGCCATAAGGCATTGGTGGATAAGGAAAGAGCAACAGATATCATCTTCACTGTCCCCCATCTCTAAACTAGGTTTTTGGAAATATTGCACTGACCCTCTAGGGAATGGAGACTGTATGACATCATCAAACATATTTTTGTGTTTTTGAGTGAGTTACCATTTGTTTAAGGATTAACTTACTTGAAAATCATCAAGGGAATCACGATAAAGAAATAACAAGAAAACTTCATTGGCAAAAGTTACCTGTTTTTCCACAATGCTGTATATATATAGAGAGAGATAGACACACCTATTAATATTTTCTGACAGCAATTATTATAAGAATAGAATAAATTGAGGATAGCAATATAAGTGGGTAACTATAAAATTAAAATTTATTTATAGATAAATTAGTTTCAGCTAAAACTATACTCTAACAAAATCTCCTAACATAAAAAGGTTTTTCTTTCCTTCAGAGTAGAGATGTAATTGTGTTAGAGATTGTGTTCATGAACTGCAGTCTTTAAGAAGCAAATGTTAACAGAAATAGGTCCCTAATATTTATACCACTCTAGAACTAAAATAACTGTGGAAAATGGGTTTATTGTAATAGTTAAAGTAACAGCAGTGAAGTAATTTTTCATCCAATTAGGAGGTCTTGTGCTGTTTATTTTATTACCATCGGCCACCAAACAGAGCTACAGTAAACAGTTATAGAAATTCTGTTCAACTAACTACAGAGGCAGCCAGATCTTGGAAGAAATACTTCTACCCTGGAGTTCATTTAAAACAGTAAACATCTCTGTTAAAACAGGCCTGCACAACTGCTGCCTACTGAACAAGTTAATAAAAGAAGTCATTGCTTGAAGGTTATACCTCCTGTTCAACTAATCAACCAAAATAAATTTTTATCTTTCCCCAGAAACCAAATAATTTTGATGGATACTGCAGACAGGGTATTTGGACTGTGGACAGTGTGTTTGGTTTAAGGTGAATTTTGACCACTTCTCTGATTTTAAATGACAGAAGCTGGTAGCACCTTCAATTCCCATGGACATGCCCCATTTGTAGGCATATAGCCAAGAAACCATTGAGGGGTGAAGTTTAAACTCTATCTTGTTAAAAACAGAACAAAATTGACCTTGTATTATATTAAGGAAGAAGAATTATTTTGGCATTAGAGACTAGAGTAGGTGGGAGGTTAGGAGAACTGTTGTAAATTGCCTCTTATTAATGCGTAAACAAACATGTTCAGTCTCAAAAAATGGGGCTTCAAAGCATCTTTATACTTTTTCCAACACCAAGGGCCTTTCCAGTGAAGCATCTGATTGTTATGCAGACAAATACTCCTCCTGCTTTCAACAGAGAGCCCCAGTGGCCTGGAGGTACTATATGGGCACTCTGCGCCCACCAACATCTGTACTTTGCAATGATTCACGGAAAAGGGGATATAGCTTTCGTTGTCAGCAGCAAGGGAATTCAGCTTTTAGAGCCTATACTACCCTGGATTCTCTCCTACTCCAGATTTTAACGCTTGGAAGGTTTCACTTGATTGATTCTGAATCTCACACAGACCATCAATAGCTGAGCCAAATTTTTGTCCTATGTCCTCAGCCACAAATCCACTGGCCTTGATCTTAGGAGCCTTTGCAAGACGTATTGCCAAAACCTTGTTCACATGCAGTGCTGACTTTTAGTGGGTCTAGTGTTTGCCAGGCTGCTCTGCCTAAAACAATGGGCAACAGCATCTGCTGCCTTATTTTCAGGCAGATATGCAACAAGGGAAAAATGAATAAACTGGTAGTAGGGTTAAGTAATTTTGTCAGGAGTCTAACTGGCATCAGCAACTTGAAAATTGCAGGTAATACAGCATAAATATATGCAATAAACTATTTCCATTAGACATTTTTCCAATATGAATAAAATTCTCTGAAATTATCAGAAATGCTGTAGCTTCCAGAACCTTTACGAGGTAAGTATACATGCTGTTTTACATAGTGTTATTTTAGAATGAAAATTACTCTGACATTGCACAAAAATGAAGCAAACCCATTGAATACTGGTATGAATGTCTTTGGGTGACTTCAAGCTCTTATGCTTGTGGGATCAACTCAGACGCTGCAGACACAGGATTAACCCAGATTTTTTTTTCAAAGGTTTCTTCACAAAAGACTTTAATGCACACTGATATGAAATCCTTACACTCTACACAGACATCAACAGCCTCACAACATTTTGAGTAAATACAGGGACTTCTTAGCAAAACCTGGTCTTTTGGGCCTGGATTTATGTCTTGCACAGAATTAGATAAAATCCACATAATTCAGGAAATAATTCATGTTGTACCTAGCACTCTGAAGGAAAATAGATGCACTTATTTTGATCTCTGTGTGACTGAGGAGCCATATCAGGCTGGGAGATTATATTCATATCAGACTTGGAGCCCCTGATTTGGGGAGGCTTAGGACAAGCAGGGTGAGGTGAGTGAGAGCCTTGGGGAGAGGATATATAGCTTTGCAAATGAACAAATCAGCCTGGCAGGTCAAATATTATTTTGGTCAGCACTCCACTAAACAACCAGAACACTGAACAATGCATGAAAAGAAAAAGCAGTTTGCTTAGTCTGTCTGCACAGGGAAACAGAAACACTACCAGTCAGGGTCGCTACATTCCTTTTTTTAATTTTATTTTTTTGGGAAGGTCCTAGCAGCAATGAGGATGAACTCTGCAAACCCAGCTGGACCTCTGCTATCACCCTCTTTAGGTCTCCCAACAGACAACTGTTTGGTGGTACAGGCAGTACTGGTGGTACTGGAGCAGCAGTGAGAACTGACCACTCCTGTAGAAGCAGCACAATGTCCTTTGGTGACAAGTGATGCCACTGAATGCAGAGGTAGGGAAGATCCTATCACACCTGGCTGCTCATCATCGCACTCAGCATTACAGACCTTAAGTCTGACTCTGCTTTAAGCTGAAAAAGCTGCCATTTTAAATGTCTGTACCCTTAAATTTCTATGCCTTGATCTCCCCTCAGCTTCCTGTATGATTACTGCTCTTGCTCCAGCCTGTGGGCTAAAAAATGAAGGGAAACAGCTATTTTTCAAGTGTGTCACTGAAAAAATTCATGCAGCAAAAATGAACCTCCACTAGTGGCAATCAGCATAGCAGGACTGAAGTCAATGCCAGTCTGTATCAGCCATCCCACTGCACCACTTTGAGGGGTTTTACTTTTTCTTATCATGATGATAAAATTCATTTTAGCAACAGCTATATCAAAACAAATCAGATGAACCAGGAAATTGACTGGCTCTCCAAAAGGCTCTTCTTAAAGAATTTCATGAAGAATCATAGTGCAGTTAGCTTGGAAACAGTTAACATGATAAAGGGAGTCATCAGCTTTGTAGCAAAAAGGAAAAAAAAAGGCATCATGAAGGTACAGGAACAGCATCTTACTGCCTTGCTGCATCACCCTACAGTCACCAGAAAAATGCTGCCTTGCCTGTTGTCAGTGGCAGCCTGAACAAAATGGCAATTCCTGTTACTCCACTGAAATGCAATCACATCTTTGACTGGAAACACCAAAGACACCTGATGGGGCATTCGTGTAGGCTGATATCAATTACTTGGGCTTAACTGCATCATCTTTACCAGAAAAGGGGGGATAGTTTGCAGAACATGACAGCAGAGTCTTGGAGAGGCAGGAGAAAGATCCTGTCTCTAGCATAACTTGAAGTCTGGTCTTCAAATGCTTGTGCGTGCAGAGATATTCTATGCATCATCTCCCCATGCAGATGCACTGCTCACACACATATATACTATTCCACAAGCAACCTAAATATCTTCATTTTAAAAGCACAGCTCAGCTCTCTTGCTGCAAGGATAAACTATCCAGTCCTGATCATCTTTCTCAGTTATTTTAATCACTGGAATTCCTTAGGCTCCCCTACTGAACTAATCTAACAAGCTCCAACCCACAAATGCTTTCCAGTTACAAAAAGATCACATGCATGTTTTTGTTCTTATCTTTGCTATGCACAAATATGCTACTGACATGAGGGATAAATGATAGAAATAGCAAGGATGGCATTCAAACGATGCTATCTGCAGCTGTCATGGAGACCAACAGGGACTGGGGTTGCTCGGCACCCTCTTAAATATCAAGGCGTCTCTCCATGTAGACACACACATAAGCATCAACACCTTCCCTGCATGTACATACATGCCCTTTTTTTATATGTCTCCTAATAACTTCATCCTACATTTAAATCTTTACACACGTACACAGACGGGTACTAACTAACACTCCTCCTGCAACACACACACACACACACACACACACATACACACACACACACGAAATCTAATGACATGCACTAGAGAAATCCAATGCAGCTCTGCAGACAGCAAGTGCTCGGTGAAGCCATGCAGTGCACACCCAATCCACAGCGATTGGTGTCTTACCATAATGTATAATAAATAACAGTGTTTAATAATAACAGCACAGCTGTGCTGCCTGCACTGACACCCTCCTGACTTCATGCTTCTAAACCATTCAAACAACATGGTCCTGTATATGAAACACAGAATGAAAAGCAGGCAGGACACGATCACTGCAAGAGATAGGCTTCGGCAGTGAAAGCTGCTTCATGTCAGAGTGGGCTTTTCCCAGCCTTCAGACGTGTGATCTGCATGTCTAATAATGAACAGATTTAGTCAATCCATCATTTCTGGCATCAGTCCCTTACCTTGAAATGCTGCAGCTGAAGTATCTGGTCCTCAAGCTGTTGTCTCTTGCCTTCTATTTCTGTTTGCCTTTTCCTTTTCTCCTTGGAAAAATAATTTGAGAGAAAGAGAAAGAGAGAGAGAGAGAGACAGAGAGAGAGAGATATCTCGTCAGAGAAGCGGAGGCTTTAAGGCTCGCAGATTCGTAACAGAATTTAAGCAGTCAAATGCATCTGTACAGATGTCACCAGTCCCATTTCACCTGCTCTTCTGCCTGCTGGTATGCAAACAGCAGCGTTCTGGGAAGACGCCAGCCCCAGATGAGCCGGTTGCTTGCCAGCAGGAGGAATTCTCCTCGCTTGCTCCCGGCAGCCGGAGCAGCAACAGAGTGCACAGTCCCAGAGGAGGGGAGAAAACAGGCATAACAGCTGAGAGAGAAGTTAAAGGGACAAAGATTTGATTTTGCTTTTGAGACGCTGGGCCAAAAACATGGATAGCATGGTGCAATTGTGTGACAGTAAGGTGTCACAAAAGCAGTGGGTGGCATCACGGAGGAAGGGAGCAAGTTGCAATCTCATTTTTCCCCAGCAATGCTGGTGGTAAGGCTTTCTCTGGGCTCAGTGGGAATAGATGTTTAAGCCAGATTGTACAGGATTTACCTGCAAAGTATATGGGGAGACCTCATCACTCTCTACAGCTACCTGAAAGGAGGGTGTAGCCAGGTGGGGGTTGGTCTCTTCTCCCAGGCGAGACAAGAGGGCATGGTCTCAAGCTTTGCCAGGGGAGCTTTAGGTTGGATATTGGGAAAAAATTCTTTACAGAGAGGGTAATCAGGCGTTGGAATGGGCTGCCCAGGGAGGTGGTGGATTCTCCATCCCTGGAGCTATTCAAGAACAGACTCAATGTGGCACTGAGTGCCATAGTCTAGCAACTCTGGTGGTAGCGGATCAAGGGTTGGACTTGATGATCTCAGAGGTCCTTTCCAACCCGACTGATTGTATGATTCTATGATCAGTAGCTGGCTGCGTTTAAAATTCAAGCCACCAGCACACACTAGCAGCTGGCCCTTACCAGTCCCAGAAGCTGGACTGACCAAGTGGTGCCAAGGACAGCATGGTCATTTCCACAGCTGAGGGTTTTCACAGTCCTGTTCATGAACACACCACTCACCTGTGCCCAGGTTGCTCCCTTCAGTAGGCACCAAACTCTCCCAGGCATTTCAAGAGGAGAACAAACTGCTTTCCCATCCTTCAACACCTTCCTCTTATGAAGGATCAACTGTTTGCCTTTGTCAGTCTTCTGCCCCTTGTGGGGAGCATTTCTCCTCACCCATTCATCCTCATCCTGGATCAGATTCCCTCTCCTGAAGGTCTTTTCTCATTTTATATTTTGTATCCAAGACAGACTAACAAATGATGGCAGTCAATAAGCATACCAGCCTCTGTTTTCACTGGAACAATGTTTTTTGTTCCTTATCTGCAAAACCTTTTTTATTTTTTAATTAAATATATCAGTAGCTGTAAGGTTGGGTTTGAAGACATTTAGGGAATCCTTAAATCCCCAGAGGAATTTTTCTTTGTCATTTCTAGGTGCCCTACTAATGCTCTGGGAATTCTCTGCTTTCCAGGGATTTCAAACCTTCATGTCTTTTCCTCAAGGAGTATATGATAAGATTATGCCTATACAGAAATTAATTGTCCTTATTTTGGACATCAAACCAGGACATAAAAAATGTTGAGGAAAAACATTACATTAAAATGAAGATATGGATTTTTAAAAAAATAATTCTTTAATGTCAGACTTACTCAAAACAAAGCAAGACACAGAGATAGGTGACTGCCTGGACCATTTCTGCCAAAGAGTTAGACATCAGAATGGTGATGGGAAGGCTGGAGTAATGTAACCAGAAGAGGTGAAGTAGTCAAATGATGCCTATGTCAAGCAGTTCTGTAATATACTGCACACTCTTTCATGTTCATTATTCATGTATATCTACGCCTACACCACACATGCACGCACACACACTCCCCATTGTCCAAAGTATGCAAGAATGTTACTGCTGAACAAAAGCATTCTCATAGAATAGAATTACAGAATCATAGAATGGCTTGGGTTGGAAGGGACCTTAAAGATCATCTAGCTACACCCACCCTGCCAGGGGCAGGGACACCTTTCCCTAGACCAGGCTGCTCAGAGCCCCATCCAGCTTGGCCTTTGAATGCTTATGGGGATGGGGCATCCACAGCTCCTCTGGGCAACCTGTTCCAGTGTCTCACCACGCTCACAGTAAAGAATTTCTTCCAAAAACCTAATCTAAACCTACTCTCTTTCAGTTTGAATCCATTCCCCCTTGTCCTGTCTCTACGTGCCCTTGTAAAAAGTCCCTCTGCATGTTTCTTGTAGGCTCTCTTCAGGTACTGGAAAGTCACAATCAGGTCACCTTGAAACCTTCTCTCTTCCAGGCTGGACAAACCCAATTCTTTCAGTCTTTCTTGTAGGAGAGGTGCTCCATCCCTCTAATCATTTTGATGTCCCTCCTATTGGTCTGCTGAAGTTGTTTTGGATTAGGAAAATTAGCTTTTTGGGTAACTAAAACGTCACAAGTGGTGCTGCTCTTGACATCTCACTGGTCTGCACACACAGAAGATAGTTTGCATTTACGCACATGCAAGCATACAGAATTTATGCATACACTTTAAAAATCCTTCCTTATACAAAACTGATAGTCTGTGGATCATCCCTCCTATCACATCTCCAATTCACATTATCCCTCTGCATTTTGAATGAAATAGGATATTGGATGGTTCAGTGGCTAAAAAACCCGACATTATTCAGGGACATCTCTTGCCATTTTCTTCATTCTGCAATACTAACAGTGTATTTTGGAGTCTGAAAACCAGAATTCATTCTTTGCTATTTCCTCAAATAGCTGGTCGTCCATGGACTGGAAAAAAAGTAGTTCTAAAAGCTGTTCCAGTTAAAGGCGTAATACTCTCAGAATAAGGATAATTTTGCCCTTTTGTGCCAAGCTGGCAGGATGACAAAATATTGGATTACAAATATGTAGGCATTAGCACCCCACATTTGACATTCCACAGGCCAGCACAAGGCACGTACATCTTCACAGTTAACTGATCTACATTCGTGTGTGCATATATATATACACACATATGATTTTACATATATATATGTATATGTATGTATGTATGTGTGTATGTATTCTACCTTTCACGAAAACCTACTTACTAAAACACATGCTGGAAACCACCACAATACCTCCCTCTGGCTGGTTGTGTCATGCTGTATAATGGATGTGACAAGACAGCCTTATAAAAGATAGATGGAAACTTCTTTTCTTTTTGAGAAAGGCAAAGCACTTAGAGTATTTTCCCTGTAGGCAGCAACACAGCAGGCACTAAAATACTTGAACTACTTACTAACTAGTGGGTTTCTGTGGAGTTAAATTGGAATATTGCTCACGTTTCCATTTCACTGGCATTCAGTCAGCCTGATTGTATGCCTCTACCCTCTGATTATGTACCACAACTGTGGCTGAGAAATATACTAAGGTACTACATACTAAAAGTACTTCCCCCCCACCCCCCAAGATTATGTGAATCAGCTATCAGAACATTTCACTTTCAGGTCACTACATCACCTTCCATTTAAGTTTCTCCCAGTCACTGCAGGTTGGACCTACATGTGTACCTGGCTAATAGGAGTGGGTTCTAGAAAAGTGCGGTAGAAGATTGGACTGGATCACAAAAATTCCACCAAAACCAGCCTGCTAGGGATTTTAGATGTTCAGAAAATGAAAGCAGCCCCCTCTTAAGCAGGACTTCACTGAAAACACTAGGATGTAAAGCACTTTTGAGCATTTGTGAAGGCTCTTTTCCATGTGTAAGTCAGAAAATGTTCGTCATTACTCTGTTCATCTACTTCTAATTTTTTTTCCAAGTATGACTGCTGAGTTACAAATTTCTAAGGGTCCTGGCACAAAGAAAATAAAGTGCTTGACTTAAACAAATAAATTTACTTGAGGATTATAGAAACTAGGTTGAAGAGAGGTGGAAAAGACTGAAGCCAATTTTACTGTTATTGTGGCATGTTTAAAGGAAAAGATTTTTATCTATCTGAAGTGTGCTGCTTTTGTAAGAATACATATGGCCATGACAGTTACCTTTCTCAAATGGTAGGGGAGGTATTTCCAGGGCACCTTGAATAATTGAGACATTAGTGAGTAAAATAAGACTTAAAGTTTGCATCCCTCCCTTCATCAGAATTAAAAGGAAACTCAGACCTACACAATGGGAAAAGAATAAAGGTCAAGCAGCAAGGTGACTCACATCTTGGAAAAATGAGATTTGTATTCAGGCATTCACACATGGATGTGCAACATGGAAACCATAAATTTATTACCTTTTCCAAGAAGGTTGATTCTGGAAAGGATGAAATTCTTAGCACTAAAATTGGTCGTGCCACTTTCCTATTGCTAAAAGCCAAATATATCAGATACTCAGTAAGACATCAGGGACTTGGAAGAAAAACAGGCACTAGGAGGACCAAACAGAGATCTGTAAAATCATGGAGATAAGAAGTGTATATCTACTGCTCACTCTGTCAACCCCTGTAAGGAAAAAAGGGGCATCGAGTGAAACTCAGTGGGGTAAGTTTGAAGCCAAGACAATGGCCAAGACATCCACAAGTCAGGATGCTGTGAATTCTAGAAGGTGATGGGGACAATCAGAAGGAATACTGTGAGGGTTACTACAGAAACTGAAATTACATCTGGTTCAAGAAGCCCTTGAACCACAGATGATTTTAAGCGTGTTTGCTAAGGTTTTGTGTGTTTGTCCTTCTCTCATGTTAATCCTAACAACCACTGACTTTTTTATCTGAATAGTGTGTTACATTGATCAAAATAACCTACAGTTTAGTATCACACTTGTCAAACTGCTCCAGTCAAAAAAACCCAAACAACCACAAACCACCACCACCACCAGCCACAAAAAACCCAAACCAAAAACAAGCACAAGATTTGAAAAAACCGAGTTATATCAAAATGATTCTCTGTAGTCACAGAATACTTCAGTTTTCCACTACA